CTTTGGCAGTGGAGGGCTTATGCTGGATTCCTATTAGTTTAGATTCAGGAAAATTTATGCACTGCGAAAGGAAGACGTCATCGAACGTATAAGGCGCCCGATAAATATCAGAGCTGACCAAAAATAAGTTTCAGCGTCATTTAAAAATTAAATTTTGAACTACAACAAAAGTATAAGGCTAGCAGTTGAACAATTTTTTCAAAGCAGAAAACAATCAAATACAAGGCACCATGAATTGAGAGATTTGCCTTCATTTCTGTGCCTCAAAAAAAATATTGAAAACATTTTATTCACATGGAATTTCTTCCAGAATCGTTGATCCTACTCACGCTTCACTTACCAGAAATTAGAATTTTATTTTTCCACTCTCGAACTGAAAATTGACAGTGAGGGGGTTTATTCTGGATTCCTATTCCGATAGATTCAGTTGGCCAGTAAAAAAGTATAAGTGACGCTTGCCTTCTACAGTAGCTTGCATATATTCCGTCGTTAGCTCATATTCAAATACGCACTAAATACGCCATTAAAAAGTTGAGGGTTGTTTTCACCCCAAACGTCAGCGCCCCCTTTTTAAAAAAACGGGTATTTATTTTTCTCCGGACCTCGATGAGCCCTCTGAATGTCAATGATGACGACTTTCGCAATCTCCGCAGTGAAGATGCCTTGGCCACGGTCTTTTCTGTTGAGAAATTTTTTCGGTACGGTCTTTCCCGCGTGAAATGAAAGACTGCCGCGTGATGAGTTGCATGCCTTTTTTTTTAACGACGACGTTAAAGAAGCACTATTGTTTTCTCTTTGCGATATGAGTGTCACGTCGTCAAAATGCCGACTTGCTGAGAAATTCAGTCAAATTTTTTTTCGTTTTCGGGGAAATGTGCTGCTGGCGCCAATACTGAGGGAAGAACGAATTCCGGTAGATTGCGGATTCAACAAGAACCTGGGAGGTTTCAGTCAGTCGTGAATAATGAGCAGCAGTGCATCTCAGTAGGCGTTATTTGGAATGCGCCTCACGCATGCATGCGGAGAAACCACGGGGACTTAAAAATTGATGCATATACCCGAGTCCGATAATCAAGAGAGCTATACATGAACCGAGGAGAAGAAAAGCGTTTCCGAAGGGATCAAGAGTGAAACGAGGCCGATAAACATTGTTTCAGACGCCCCAAAGGGGTTCTTCTTCTTCTCTTTTCCACCCCTTTTTTTTTTCTTTCTGCTTCTTCTTCTGAGGGACACGATGCTTCTGACGCGTAATGCAGCAAGCCAAAAAGTATGGTCGGTGTTTTCTTGCAAACGATCCTTTGGTCAGGATGCAATGATAAGTTGTGCTTCCCCGCGGTCCCAAAAACTTGCCATTCGTCTTCCAACGACTGTATAGTCCCCTCCCGTCTCCGCCGCTCCGAAAATTTAGGCGACGCCCCGCGCTCCTTCTTTGGGCTCCTGCGCCGGTATGAATAATAAAGAGGGGAGTAAACAACTACCCCCAAAGCGAAAAGGTAACACGTGTATGTATGTATGTATGTATAAACTGTCCAGAAGAAGAAAAAGAAGAAAACGAGTCGAGCCGAAAGATGTCGCCTACCCTATATGTCATGGAAAATTCCGAATTCTGAGCCTCGTGTCGCGAATCTGGCGCAGACTTGATTGCGCTTGACTTGAAGAATATAGTAAATGGACAGTATTGTATTTATGGTGGGTTGGTTCACAAGGTTTGTTAATTGTGATTCTGCTGCCCTGGGGTTGGAATCAATTTTTGAATATTGAATCGTTTTCCAGCTGTGGATGAAAATGTCAACATTTTTTCTCATAAGCTATTATGATAACATATTTTGTAGTTCTTGTACCATATTGGGGACAGATTGTCACCGCAATATAAGGTGGTGACAAGTGTCACAATAAAACACAGTAATCAGTCTGGGACAGGACCAGGAATTCCTTGTAGGAATTCTCAAGTTAACTGGCTGAAGTGTATTTCAAACAAGTAATTGATAAAAAGACTCAGCAAATGTTTCTCCAGAAAGAGTTAATAAACTCTTCTCATAGCTAGGATAACTTGGCTAAAGAATTACTCAACTCAACTACTGATGATAGGATTGAACATGAGCTGCTTATATACTCAGAAATATCTAACCGTCATTGGTTTCTACTTTACATGACAGAAAGATCTTTAATAAGGTCAAGAGTCAAAGATGCTACAGTGCCAGGACAAGAAGTACCTGGCACTGCAATTTTGAGGATCATTGTGTAATTCATTTTTCATTCATCATTTATTCATTTTTCATTTCATTTTTCCATTTTCCTTAAGCTAACATTGGATCGCATCTGAGAAGTTTGAATGATTTTTCCTAATGCGTGCATTACTGGTTCTTCTGCATTGAAAAATTTTATTATTACAGCGTGTTTCTCAAAGGCGTTCAACGAGTTCAAAAATACCCTGAAGTTCGAGCAAAAATGTCGTATTCACTGTATACCTCTGGAATTAATGGGTGCAAAAAAAAGAGGCAATTTTTTAGAGCGGGAATCCCTGTCCTGAGCTCTGCTTCTACAATGGTTATTTGTTTGACATCATCAGTTACTCGGCTCCAAAAACAAAGAAGTTCGCGATAAAACAAATGCTTTCGTCTCTTGCTCAACTGTTGTGATGCGGTTCGGTGCCGACCTACAAACGCGCGGTAGCGTCACAAACTGTACGGACGAAGCCATGAATGAGGCCACTAGTGTTTGCGCTTTCTCTCTCGCTGTAAGGTCGTTTGTTCCAGAACATTTTCTCTCCTCGCGGTCGGGGTAAAATAAAATGTAAGAAAACATAATAAAAATTGTTTATAAGAACATTTTTTATTTCCCCCATATATTTATTCTATAGTCTTCTCTCATTTTGTTTTGTTTCCACGATATGGGAATAATTTTTGTCACAGGGCTTGAGAGAATCTGTTGCTCTCTCGTGCCGGCAAGAATGAGTTTGGTTATTGTCGTAATTTCGCTCGCTTTGTTACCCTAGATTCCCCCCGTTTTTTTTTCTTCTTCTTCTTCTGTGCGCGCGCATGCGGCACGTCTGAGCGAACGTACTCATTAGTACTTGGTACGTAGTTGTTACCCTTTAATTACTCGCCCCCGAACCGCCGACACTTTTTTATTTATTTTACAATTTATTTTCCGGGTCTTTGTGCATACCTTCTTGCCGCCTCTCTCATCTTCCGTGAATTAATTCTGGATGAGCCTTCATTCCGATTTTCTTTTTTTGTCCTTGCGGCGCCGGAATAATAGTTTGTTTGCAGGGAGAAATATGAACAATTTGTCAAGTTTTCGCCTACGGCAGTCATCGCTTGTTATTGCGAATCCGGAGTATGCTTGAGATCGAAAATTATGTTTTTCGCTTATCTTGTACAGGTGCACTCTCTGTCTAAAAAAAAGAAATTGTCAGCGAGGAATTTATACGCATAACGATTTTTTTAGCCCTACTGTATATGGTACTCTTTCCATTTTATATGGGTTCTCGATGACAAAATTTTCTCTGAAACGATATTTTGCTGATGGTCCCTTGAATTTCGTTGCAGATAGAGTCCTCCTATGTTAATTAGATTGTTGGATAAGGAGTTGAGGATCAATATGCTTTCAATCGTAACATCTCTGATTATTTCTTGAGTATTGTTTTAATTAATTGCGGGGCTGAAAGTCAGAAAAGACGTAGAGTTGAAAGAAAATTTGTGTGAAGTGTCATAGAAAAAATCAATTGCGTGCCAAATATGGGATTAGCTAGAATTCGAATGAGGTCTTGCCACGAAATATTTTCAAGAAGCAAAAAGCATTCCGACCTGAGCAGTTTTTTTTTCAGCGATGCCGACTTGAAATTGTTCTGAAATTCTCATCGGTCTTCGAATAGTTTTCAAAAACTGCATTTCAAGCTGATGATAACGCTTTTGAATTATTCTATGTGTAATTCTATGTAAGGAATGAACTTGAAATATTTTCCGAAATATTCTTCAAATTTCCGACTTATGAATAGTATACTGTACTTGTCGAAAAATCTGGTTGCATATATGCCGTATATATGGCGCTTGTAGATGAATTTTCGGACCCCTTTTCAATAGAGAAGTTTAGACGATGGAAAGTGATGGTGAAAGATCTGAACTGTCTTCATTTAAAATTATTACCGAGGAATAGCCGAGCCTAGATGAACTTCTACGAGGATTTACGACGTGGTGTTGATGGTTAATTGTTGAGCGCAGGCTCTGCTCGCGTGGGTTTCGTGGGGCAGGGGTATGGAATAAAAAAAACCCCGGGGTTTGCTTTGTCGCTTCGAATTTCATTTAATCCTCAAAATGGAGTGAGAAGATTGCGTCACTTCGGGATTGTGCCCAGAAAACTAATGAGAAGTAATTGAGTTACCACGAACCCCTCTTCTGAGGAATTCACGGTTTGTGAGAGCCTCGGAGAAGATCGGTATTGTGATATTTTTGTTTAACGAACACTCAACGAAAATACGTGTCAAAATGTTTTGAAATGAGAACTAAAATGGAGATACGGGTTTTGTTGGCTGACGCTCATTTTGAATTGGGAAAGCCAAAGGTGTACTGACGCAATTCACACTTCGGGTGTAAAAACAATGACGAATAAAAATTGAACATATATCTGAGGTATTCTTGTCGTTTCCTGATCGATTGGCCTCAAAAACACCTTTAAAAGCTGATGAATTTCTGGAATAATAACTACTGTACCAAGAGCACGCAGAAATGCGATGGGAAGGCTGAATTTTGCTGCGAAACGAATACTTCGAAGTTTTTCGAAAGGGTTTCACAAGAATGTTCAAAAAATTGCTTCAAACAAACATGACGTAACGCTGGAATTTATTTTTAGGCAGCTCGTTGCTTGCAAGCATTTTAAAATCCCACTCAACTATAGGGAAATCTTTAAAACTGTAGAACTTTTAAATCCCCATGAAGAAAGTAAAGACGATAACCTATAGATTTTTTTTTCAGTATATTGCAGTATACAGCAGTGGACCCTTGGTTGAAAAACTTGACTGGTTCCAGGCAAAAGTTTGTTAACCACAAAGTTTGTTAACCAAATTTGATTTTCCCATAGACTTCAATGGGGCATAATTCAATCAATTCTGTGAACCCAGAATACAATAATGGAACATTAAAACAATTCAAAACCATCATCTGTATTCAGAATAAGTTATTGCTGCATCTTATATGTGCTCAGAATATTTTTACAGTGTTATGTGGAAGGAGCACTGATAAAAACAAAATTTAAAAAGCTTCACATGTAGAGAAACACACACTGAAGGATAAATGTCAAGTGAAAATTTAATTTTTATTCAATGCCGCAAGTATTGTTAAAATATACTTTTCAAACAATTGAACAGCTAGAAAAAACCAAGCGCAGAAAAAAAAATTAATTCTGTCACTCGAAAGCATATCAAAATTTAGCTGAAAAATACTTTGAATCCAAGATTAAACGTACAGAAATTCAAGTGCCAGAAGGGAATACATTTTATATCAATATCAGCTAATTATTATATTTATTATATTTATATCAGCTAAACCCGTGAAAATGAGGATTATTCAAAATATCACTGAAAGATTAGTCCATTGTTTTTGGGCCATTTTCGTTGTCGAATTATAGTTCCAATTATTATATTTATTTCTTTCGAAACGGAGAGAAATATGACTTTCGTAATTTTTTAGTTGGCAGTTCGAAAGATTCGTTCGTCAAGTCAGTTTTTTTTATTTTTATTCTTCTTCAATTTCAGGCTTCACAGCCACCTGAACAAACGGAGCCCGTGGACCTGAGTGTTTCGAATGGGGCGTCGCCCAAGAAGACCTCGGACGACGCCAAGAATCGCTCAACTTCCGACAGCTCTGACGAGGATGACGTCGTCGTCGATGTCGACGTCGACACCTCAAACTTTCCGGCTGCTCCTCCGGCTATTTGCGGCGCCGCCGGCGCCTTTGTCAGCCCCTTCTTGAGCCCTTATCCTTCGCCGAATCACGGTTAGTTTATTGATTCCATGCGCTGATTGCCGAAGGAATCAACTGTCTACAATCGACTGATTTCTCCCCCCCCCCTCACCATTTTCGTAGACCAATTTATCATGTAAAATTGGGTTGTTCATCTGTGAAAAAAATGAGTGTTTCCGGAAAGTTTCGTGGTTTAAGCGGAATTTTGCTTCCTTGATTTTTCCGAGAATTTGTGACTGTCTTCTTCTTGTTTTTATACGTGCTACTTTATATCCTTTACCGTTTACGAATATGCTGCAACTTTGGTGTTGCTTCGAAATTGCAGTCATGATGAAGTAAATAAAATTCAGTATCAGTTTTACGAATTTCAGTACTGTACATCAATCCTGCATCTGTTTTGCAAAAAATGAAAGACACGCATTGAGAGAAGATCTGAATGAACCGTACTTGTACTGTACAGAACATTTTTATACCTGCACCGAGCTTCGCGTTGGATAGAACGCGAAATTCTTCCAAACCTCTAATTACGAGAGTAGTCCCACTTGGACGCGACCTTCGTTACTTCTTGAGAAGGTACGAAAGTAAGAAAAAAATTGATATAGCCCATGATGTTCTATGGGATTTATTTTTTCGGATTGAAAAAACTCAGTGCACTGCATGATGATTCGTGGAAACTTTCCAGCTACGTCCCGAGTTTTCCACCCATGTCACAGTGTGCTAAACATTGTCAGTCCAGCTATAAATCGAAATTTCTTTGCTGTTTCAACCATTGCCTAGAATCAAGAAAAGATAATGGTTGAACTATAACAAGAAAACTGAAATGTTAGTAGGTGTGAAAATTGTTTAGCACCCTGTGACACCAGAGGAGGACTCTGGCTGAATTTGGAAAGTTTGCACTTATCATGCGGCAAATGGAAGCTTTTTTTAATAAAAAAAAATTTCCCAGAACCACACAACATCATGGCTACGTCAGTGTTTCCAACTCTTTTGGGGCCTACAGACTCGCGAATTTCCCTAAAATTTTCTCGGGAGTGCGGACTGGCAAAGTTTCATAAAATATTTGCAGACTCAAGAAGTTCTGCTTGAAAGACTTTATGGCAAGCATTTAAAAAGTCTCCTTTTTAAGAACCGATGAGGCAGCTATCGTAGAATGTCTTCAAAAATTCAGAAAGATGGGCTAATTGAAGTAAGGTTTCTTGGAATGAAAAACTGAAATAATTTATTTCACTGAGTGAAAATTTTTCTTTGTTGTTAGGAGAATAGCCATCTTTTATTTTGTCATCAGATAATTTCAACTGCCATGATGAATGAATGAATGAACAGAACACTTTATTTGCCGCTTTTCAGCATTCACAAAGTTCAATCAAGATTTCCACATCCAAACCCCCTTCCCACCCAACCAAATCAACTCAAAGACATTTAATCACTTCAAAGCAGGAAACAAAGCACAAATTCATGACAAAAATAAAAGAAGATACAATCCACGAAATACAACTGAACATCTGACATGTATGCATACACCCATTCCTTCCCTGACATTGAAAACAAAAAAATCAGTGACAATTAATTTAAAGCACAGCTTGTTTCTGTATGAGGTTTAGTTGAATGAACAATTTAAAACTGCCATTGTATTTCCAAAATTGCAGATAAAGGTAACAGATTTCATTGTTACTTCTGATAAATTTATTATGCTGAAGCAAATTTCCCGCGGACTGGCGAAAAAACGTCTGTGGACCGGTTGGGGAACACTGTGCTGTATCATACTTTTTTAATGGTCATACCTATTCTAGAAATAACCAAGGTTGCACCCAAATGGGACTAACTTCGTACTACTACAGCTTCAACATGGACAGAAACTCAAAGATACAGTACAATGCGTTTCTTCCAATTTTTGCAAAACAGATGCAGGATTGATGTGCAGTACTGAAATTCGTAAAACTGATGCTGAATTTTATTTTCTTCATCACGACTGCAATTCGAAGCAACACCAAAGTTGCAGCATATTCGTAAATGATGAAGGATATAAAGTAGCACGTATAAAAACCAGAAGAAGACAGTCACGAATTCTCGGAAAAATCAAGAAAGCAAAATTTCGCCTAAACCACGAACATTTCCGGAAACACTACTTTTTTTATACCTTATGCATATTTATGTATATATAAATTTTTATTCGTTTTTTTTTGTGTCACATCCTCTAGGGTTGTATCCGTTGAGCCCGCCTGGCCTCCGTAAGTTCCCCACACCCGCAGCCGCGCATCCGTTCACAAATCCGTTCTTCTTCCCGGCTGCACCTTTGCACCCGTCTTACATCCCATCCTACAGCTCCCTGTTCCTCTACCACTCACCACCACCGACACCGACACAACAGGCCTCACCGCAAGTCGAGTCCGCCAACGCCGACACTAGCAAGCGTCGGAAGACGGTGAGGAAGAACTCGGAAGACGTCAGTGTTGCCACTTCGGCGGCGGCTTTGCCCGCGCGCAAGAGACTCTTGGACTCGCCGAACGACGTCAAAACCGGCTGCGAAAACAACAACAACAACACCAGCAATAATAATAATAACAACAACAATAATAATAGCAGTGACAATAACGTGAGCAACGGAAGAAATAAAGCAGACAAAGGAGACTCTGCATCCTCGTCATCGTCGTCGTCGTGTGACGATCTGGAGAACAGCGTCGGCATTGGAATGCCGATCAGGAAGCGAGCATTGGCGATTTCTCGGGATCTGGACGTCGAACAAGGTGAGATTATCTGTTCTTGTTCATAAATGTCGGCATTACGTCAGCAAAGTATTATTATTATTATTTTTTGTATGCTAAGGATCGCTGGGACGAGGACATGATTAATTGGTTCCATTCAGCGAAATAAACCCGCAATTTTTAACCTTTCGCGCGGCGTGAAGAATTCGTGCTGAAGTGCGTAATTTCCAAATGCAATAGACTTTCATAGGAACCGCTGACGTGTGTCGATTTTGCTTTTGTGTAGGGTATTTTTTTCGTTCGGGAGCTCGTTTTCTATGAAGCATACTCGTGTGTGCTTTTTAATTGTCACGTTGGCTCGTGAAAGTTCGCTGAAATGAGGCTATTGTTTGCGATTTTTTGTTCCTTACTGCCGCGAAAATATCGATTTGTCGCGAAAATTTTTCGTTTTTAAAGAATGATCGGCAATTCTTTGTAGGAGGCGAGTCAAATACTTGTAATGGTTTGGAATATTTTGAGTGAGAAGAACGCGGGGCATTCTTGTTTCAAATATTTTTTCTGCTAGATTATTCATTTTTAGGTGAAAATAAATTCATTTTCGTGGCTTTATCTTATGGAAATGAGAAACGAGATGGTGCAAAATTCAGGAATAACGTTCTGTAATGTTTTTTCTTCGTAAGTATTTTTTAAAAAACCGCTTTAGATTTGAAACGTGTTTTCTCAAATTTGATGTTCCATGTTCATAGATTTTCTGCGTGGAATAGTTGCACGTCAAATACTGTTACTGTTGCATTTGATTGGTTTTAATCATTGCTCGAACTCCCATTTTGGGAGATCAGCAGAAACCATAAAAAAATTCAACTGAGTTTTGAGTTCTTTTCAACACTGAACAGTTTTCCACTTGATATATTTTCGTGTATTGCAGTTTGAAACAACGTACTAAAGTGAGTTTTGCGAAAGTGAAGCATATGCAGCACTTTTAATGCTCTACGTTCTTCAGTGACACTTTTTTTTTCTGCAATGGCGCGACATTTATGTACGATTTCCATTTGGGATTACGTTATCAGCCGAGGATGCAATTTATTATAATTATGGGGTTATTCAAAATTATCTCGATTATATCTGCGGTTGACTTATGATTTCCGAACCTAATATATATATATTTAATCAGTAAAGGGATTTTAACATAACTTTTTTTTTTATTCATGAAACTGAGTCTGCTTGAAACTTCTCTATATTGGAATATTTCAAAGCAAATGACTTTGGTCGTTCAAATCTTTGAAGTGTTATTATTCGTTTTTTTTTTTCTTCTCGGAAGCGTTTTTGGAGGGCCAAGGTTTTCAACAGACTCACCTTCCCCCTGCTAAAATAGCTTTCAAAGTAATGCCTTGGAGCAAGAATAGCATGTTTATAGCTGAATTTCGAATGAGAATTTTTTCATACAGTATCTGGTTTCCTGGACGAGATAACTACAGTGTGGTTGAGGTCGATGAATGAGCAAGTAATCGAGACCAAGTACCAAGATCGTGTGGAGGCATGATACAAAAAAAAAGTATGCTTCGGGGGTGGAGTTGGTTCTCGCATCAGCAAGGCAATCTGAACGAACTTGTTCTGGTCTCACGAACTCCGTTTTTCATCATGCCTCCGGGGGATTGGAAAAGTCGCGAAATAATTTCAGGACTTTTTCTGCTTATTTTTTAGGAAATTAATTTGTTGGAACTCCGGCGTTTGACCGTGAATCGATCAGACGAAAAATGAGTATTGCTGGGTACCGTATCACGTGTAGTACAGTATTCCCTTTTTAAACTGAGACTGGCGTGTGCATATACGAATGTTTTCCTCAGAAAGATACGCTGGAGATTATGTTTTGGTTTATTTCGAGGTTGAAAAAAAGTCCGGCGTGCTTTTTATATGCAAAAGTTCAAAATCTATGACTGCTGAGAAATTTGATCGAGTTTAAATTTCTCGTTGCTTCGAATTTCAGTGGAAAAAACAGCCTCAAACCTACTCAAACTGATGAAGTTATTCATTTTGATGTTTCCTGCTATTAATGCCTTATACTCGTATATGGCTCTAATGAAATTTGATTTTTCCTAGAGAAGTCGATTTTAATGTCCGGAAGGAAAGGTCTTGTCTAAAAATAAAAAACGGAAAATTTTCGTATCGTCCATTAAGGTTGCATCGCAAGTTCATTTTGAGCTGTCATCCGACGAGGTTATTTGTATAAAAGAGCGTTTTATCAACTTTTATGACATATGACTGAAATATCGCATTAAATTACCGTCTAATGAGGAAGTTGTCTGGTTCTTAGCCAGGCAATTCATTTCCCTCATTGGATGAAGGTCAGCCGAGTAATCCTTAAAAAAGCGGCTTCCTCGAAACTCCCGTCGTTCTCGGTTGTCCTGATTTAGTTTCACAGACTTGCCCGAGGGAATGTAACGCGTTTTTATTCTTATTTTTCTTTCAAAGAAATTAGGAACTGGGATTTTTCTTCCTGGGTTTAAAAATTTCTTTCTTTTTTTTCGTGTCACTGGGTACGGATGAGGTCAAGCTTGGTGTGTGGTCTGGTGGATGAGAGGAATCGATCCACGAGCGGGGGTTTGACTGGCAGGTATGCGTGGCATTAATCACCACCTTCTTCCGGGGACGCGTTTTGTTGCCGGCAATCGTTCGACATCCCATTTGCAGAAGCATTGTTTTTTATTCGTGTTCCTTGGTTGGTTTGCCATCGGCGATTGGTGCGGCATTAGAGAGCGATTGTCCGTGATACAGATATACGCATATTTTTTTCCCTGCCTTCGTGAGCAGATTTCTTTGAGCAGACGTGCATCGTGTGATACACGAATAGGTTCGGTATCCGCGGTCGAAATTATTAATTTTTTCCACATATTTTCATGGCTAATTTTATACAAATAATACATAAAATTCCGCAGGCCTTGGTGTAAGAAGAGGGGAGGGGGGGGGGAAGAGTACGAGTACTTTTCTTGCGTTTGTCGAAGTGTAACCGTCACAATTTCTCCATTTCCTACATTTTCGTTCTTTATTCACGATTTTAATTACCTTAATGATTTTTGTTCTAGAACCTCAAGTAGGGTAATATTGCGGCAGAATTAGTCCATCATACTCTTGACCGCAGTTCCAATGCTTGGAATGGACTGAAAATGAAATCAGCTCGACCTTGTGGCTTCAAGATTGCATGACGTAATGCGAATCTTTTAATAAGATAGCTTGAAACTTTAGGAGTAAGCCTTATGCATAGTCGGTGACTCGGACAACTGCACCTTAACTTATGTTAACAATGTGTTAGTACTAAAAAATTGAACGCATTGATACAAAATGATTCAGATGAAGTGGATACAAGGAGTAACTCATGTACTCTTGATGTTCCGAGAAAAAAATAATTACCATCAGCAGTTGTTCGAGAAGTTCATGATTAAAATTTTTTCGGACCATTATTCATAACGTCGAAGCATCCCTGATATTCAAACTGTTCCTTCCTCAAATATATAACAGCAAATTCTGGACTCTCATTGCTGCTCACAAAATACTGTTAATTAAAATTATCACTGGAGAAGGTTTGAGTTGAAATTTTAGACGTTATTCAACAGAGACCTGAAGGAAGATTTGAAAGATCATCTAAAGAATTATTCATGCATAAATTGAAAGTCTATTTGGCCGATGCACTACGTTTTTTTTTCTTGAAGTTATGTGATGAACTGAACTTCTTTGCTTTTCCGTGAATAACTGAGAAAAAGTTAAAATTTGGAATTGCGCAGAGAAATTAATCACCCCCCTCCCCCTTCCGTCCTTGACAATGAACTGCAATTATTTTTCGAAAGACGAAATTTTGCTCCCTAAAAAAAAAGACTAGTTACGAGTAATCAAACTAGAGGCAATCCAATTCTGCCTACCCTGCTTCAAGGCTAAAACAAAAGGTCTCGAAATGGTTTTCGAGGAAACAATTGAGCGAGTTACCTCAATTCGGGATAGGCGATTTCGATTGCGTCACATCCCATACGTATCAAGTGAAAAAAAATTCAAAAAAAAAATCATGGCATGTGTGTGCATGTATATATATATATATATTTTACTTTTCGACGAGAGGCAAAGAGAGATATATATATATAAAGAAGGGGCGAAAATTTGCGTTGAAGAGCCCCGCGGTCGAGTTTCGCAGCCCGGTCACCTTGTCACTTGACCCCGTCCACGCCCACCCCATGCTTGAGGACCCCGTGGCGCACACGCGAAACCGGGAGGACTGCTCGTGTCATCTTCCCCAGCACGCAATCCCATCATGTTCCTCTCATTACAAATCCTTCCCTCCCCCCACCAATACAAATTCATCCACTTCAACACACGAAAAATCGAAACATTTCTTGAGAAAAGGTATTTTGTAACAACCGGTTCATGCCAACCCGTCACACGTAACCCCATTCCCGCTGCTGGCTTCGGCATGAAGCAAGAAGGAATAAAAAGCTATAATTTTTATGCTTCATTCGCAAACTCGTGAATGTTTAAAGAACATTTCGATATTTAATCGTGACATGTGTGTAAAATAAGGAATGTGGGACAAATTTGAATGTATTTGGCATTGCTCGGAGAACCATGAGTGTTCGGTCTCTGCATTGGAGATGGAAAGCTGCAATTTTTTTTGGCTTTTTAATAGTTTTCTGCTGGTGTTTTGGAAAAGGAAGAACGCTTCCCCACAGTCTTCCACGTTGAAAAAAAAAGAAACAAACTTTTCTTGACAGAAAGTATTTTGTAGCATCCGATTCATCTCATGCAACCCCCTTCTAGACTGGCCCCGGTCTGAAAAAAAATAATTGAATCGTGGTTATTGTTATACTTGATTTGCAAACTTGTTAATATTTTTCGGAATTTTAAAGATTTAATTTTGAAATTCCTTTGAAATGAATATCGGGAAATTTTGAAAAATTACGAAGGGCTTTTGGCAATAATCGGAGAACCGCAGAACCTCAGCGTCTGCATCGAAGATGGAAAGTTCAATTTATTGCATTTTTCATGGTTGGCTGCTGTTGCCTTCGAAATGAAAGAAAATTATTGCCGATCTGACACTTCTTTCCTACCTACCATACTCTAAATTCTTAATGATTGGTGCATGAATCAGATTGGAATTCACGCTGAAG